AAACGCACTGTTAAGACAGCAGGTAAAAGTTGGTCTGTGTTCTGTCGGAGCTGCCTGCGACGCGCTGATGAGATCCAAAAAGATCGAAATCGCGATCTGCGTCTGGCAGTTTCGACAGAATGCAGACCACTTCGAATTATTTTACTACATTTACATTATTGACAATAGGCATTCTAATTAAATTATCATAAAATTTGAAGGCGTATTCAAAATCTTATTTTCCAATGTTCACTTTTGATTTTCTTATTGACATTATGTTGGATTTTTATTCCAATAGAGCAAAAAAATTGATTTCATTGATTTATCACACACTGAATTTAGAATTTCAGTGCCCCCATTAAAACATTATAGTTTTATAAAATATATTTTATAATCGTCGGTGAGTTTTGATACCTACGAAATAGTCATATAAATCAAGATAAAAAGAGTAGTAGAGAGATAAAACAGAGGATAGCACAGAGCGGAGTCGCCTTCAACGGAAAGAAGTCACTTCTATACTCGCGAATAATTAATTTAGAAATTAGAAAAGGACTGTTAAAAGTGTACGGTCGGAGTACGGCGCTGTACAGGTGAGAAACGTGGACGATGGGTGCGGCGGAAAAAAAATGGTTAAAAGCGATTTAAAATGTGATTAAAATGAAAATACTGTGGATATAAAAGGTTAGAAATGCGGAGGAAGAAAGAGTAGGAGAACAGGGCGCTATGAAAGTCAATAAGAAATAGGCGACATAGGTTAGTAGGACACCTTTTCAAATATGAAAAACGAGTTAGACACATATTAGAAGCAGAAACAGGAGTTAAGAGAAGTTGAGGTAGACCTTGATTAGATTACTGTTCACAAATAGTTGAGGTGCGGTTTTCCTGTTTTAAGAAAATGCGACGATTAGCTCAAGATAGGAGAGAGTGGAGGTACGCGTCCAACCAGGCTTAGGGCTGACGACCCTATGATGATGATGATGATGATGACTATAATGGTCAAAGCAGTGAAAACCAATAAAGTAGAAACGTACATTGTGCAATCATATATTCAAAAATCACCAATGAAATTATGAAAGAAAATTAACCTTCATTTTAATACAATATTCTTATAAATATATACGTGTCCAACTAGTCTTAGGACTGACGACCTTATGATGATGATGATACATATATGACAATATGGAGATATATGTATAATTTTACATGCAACCCGCAGTTATGATTTATTTCCAAAATGACCCGCAAGATCATTTGGGTTGGCCACTTCTTATTTAAACCAACTAAAAAACATTCTCAAAGTTAAAATTTTCATCTAAACTTTTGAGATGAAATAATACAAAAAACAAAATAATACTGTTTCTCCCTCTTACCCCTTCGTTCCCTTTGTAAAAATTTTCTTTGACAGAGTCGTACCCTTGCCTTCTGCCCCTAATATTTCTTTGTATTCATTCTCTACTTCAATTTTCACACCGTTTCCTATAACATAACTTATTTCGACCTTTGCATTCTTCTTAAATTTTCCTCTTTTTTTACCTCGTAACATTCTTTTCGTTTATCATATTCCATGTATTCCTTTCCTTATTTTTTTATTCTATCAGTTTTTTGTTTATTTATCATCATTTCCTCTAACGCTTTTTTTATTCCTCATCATATCTATTTGTCATCCTAAAATCGATGTTTTTTTTCTTTATATATCTCTTGTTATGAGTCCTTGCTGTAAACTCNAAAATTAAAACATTTTAACAAAAAAACAAATTCGAAGTGGTCAGTGTTCTGTCGAAACTGCCAGACGCGGATCGCGATTTCGATCGTTTTGGATCTCATCAGCGCGTTGCAGATAGTTTCGACAGAACACAGACCAATTTTTACCTGCTTGTCTTAACAACGCGTTCTATAAAATACCACAAATGGCTCGGTAAACGCCATCTGTAGTACAGTGCTACGTCTAGTGGAATTCATTATGCTCAACAAAATATAGCACTGTACTACAGATGGCGTTTACCGCGCCATTTATGGTATTTTATAGAACGCTCTGTTAAGACAGCAGGTAAAAATTGGTCTGTGTTCTGTCAAAACTGTCTGCGATGCGCTGATGAGATCCAAAAAGATCGAAATCATGATCCGCGTCTGGCAGTTTCGACAGAACACAGACCACTTCGAATTTGTTTGTTCGATTTTGGTAACGTGCCTATCACGTAGTGGTGAGCTACGCCGTGGATTCAGTTCAGCAAGTAGATACCCTTCTATTTAAAGGACCTTGTTGAGCATAATTAATACCACTAAATGTATGTTAGCACTGTACTACAGATGGCGTTTACCGCGACATTTGTGGTATTTTATAGAACGCTCCGTTAAGACAGCAGGTAAAAATTGGTCTGTGTTCTGTCGAAACTGTCTGCGACGCGCTAATGAGATCCAAAAAGATCAAAATCGCGAACCACGTCTGGCAGTTTCGACAGAACACTGACCACTTCGAATTTGTTTGTTCGATTTTGGTAACGTGTCTACGAGGGTGGATTGATAAGTTTCCGGCCTGACCAAGAAAAACAAGGTTTTTAAAAATTTTTTTTTTTTATTTCTCAACATAATCTCCTCCAAGGCTGATACATTTCTCATAGCGGTGTTCCAGTCTATTAATGCCATCTCTATAGACTGATTCGTCAAGCTCCTCAAAATAACCATTTACAGCTTCGATTACNAAAAAATAAAACAAAATTTAAAATATTTACTTTGGAGTCTGACGGTTTTGATCATTTTGTGTTTTGAAAAAG